CTTCAAAGCAACTTTACCGAACTTAGTTTTTTGTGTTAAGCAAATAAACAAAAATTTATTATCATAAAAAGTTGAGCGACAAGTATCCAAAAAATTTTATCCGCTTATATCACTTTAATCAATCATCTTATAGGAAGAGCAATAATTTTTCAAATTCGTAAAGAACTTGTGCATGTAATTTGCCTCTTCCTTTCCGAAAAAATCTAAAATGTGTAGAAGTATATTTCACTATTGGAAAGAAAATAAGGAAATGTTGCACATTACAGTCACGTTATCATAATTATAACATGACATCATTTTTACCAAGAAAAGGTCCTCGGGAAAAGTAGACAATTTTGTTGTACCAAATGAGTTTGCCCCAAAATTATCAAACTCATATTTCACAACCCCACCAAATTCACTACAATATAAATAATATGGTTACACTGATAAAATAATATAAATTATAAATAAAAGATTTTTTGATGACTTATTTATTAATTTAGACACGTAAAAAATCATACATTTTAATATAAAAAAAAAAAAATGGAAACTTCACCATTACAACAACATAAATTATTTGAAAATTTTTTTAACGCTATTTCACTTCCTAAACTTGCAAACCACTGGCACGTTCTTTTACTTTCGACTTTAGCATGTTGCATTACATTGGCTATTTCGAGGATTTTGTCCTCTTTTTTTTTTCCAAAAACCTATAATAGTTTACAAGGCGTTAGACGAGTTAATTGGGATATTCATTTTGTAAGCATGTTTCATTGTTGCTTGATTGTATATCTTTCAGTCCCTTTGTTGTTTGATAAAGAACTAGAAAAAGATAAAGTATTTGGCTATAATACTTATGCTGGAAATGTTTATGCTATTTCTTGCGGGTGAGTTATTTTTTTTTTTAGTAAAAATAATAATGATAATAAAATGATAATTCTAACTATAATTATATACTCTAGTTATTTTCTTTGGGATGCTCTTATATCTCTTTATTATGTAAGAGAATTTGGAATTGGGTTTGTTTTACATGGTGCATGCTGTTTTGGGGTTTATTTATTTGCTTATGTAAGTAAATTTTCAGTTATAAATATTTTAATTCTAAACACATTATTTAAAATTAATTCTTATTTTTTTTTTTTTTTTGGAAAAAAGCGCCCATTTTTAAATTATTATGGATCAGTCTTCTTGATGTTTGAAATATCCACACCTTTTCTGAATATACATTGGTTCATGGTATGCGTATATACATTCATTTTTCAAAGAATTATTCGGTTTTTGCCTTTTAAATCGTGATGAATAAAAAAAATTTTTTTTTGGATCAATCGATATACGTGTAACAGGATAAGCTTGGAAAGACTGGTAGTTTTATTCAATTAGTCAATGGTGTTTGTCTACTTTTATCGTTTTTCTTTTTCAGAATAATATTTGGAATTTACATGTCATATCACGCACTACGTAAGTTATTTAAGTTTATAATTTGAAATTGAGATTTAGTATCATTGATTTGAATTTATTATATTTAAGCATTTTATTTATTATCTTTACTTTGTAATATAGAATCAGTTCTACCAGTAATTTCTAAAATTCCAACGTCATTATGTTTAATTTATGGAGTATCTAATATTATATTGAATCTTTTGAATATAATTTGGTTCAAGAAGATGATCGATGCATTACTTAAGAGATTCGGTTCTAATGATAAAGTAGAAGTTAAGAAACATCTTAAATCTAAAGAAATATCATATCACAATACCGTAACTTACTCTGCAACAAAAATTGAGACTAAATCAAAAAGTGCTTGATTTAATTTACCAATTAATTATAACAACATATCATATTTTTTAAAACAGTGCTTCATTGGGATGGGTTTATTATTAAACAATATTTATTGATTTGTCATTCTTTTAGAAAGTATTAGTTTTTTAAAGATTATATAGATTCATGTCAAATTGACATTTTAAATTTATCAAAAATCCATTGTAATATAACGATACTAATGCATCCATATATATATACTATATATATTAATTAATAATTACATAAATTTATCATCCTTTTCTTGTGGAATTTTTTATTTGTTTTTTGTGCTTTGTGTTCCTTGAACAATTGCAGATAATTGATTTGCTGTTGAATCTATCCATTGCACTGTACTTAAATGTGAATTGAGTATTTTGACAACTTGATTCATCTAAATAAACAAACATGCGTGTGTGTATGTACACACATTTCGTTAGATGAAATTTTAAAAAAAAAAATAAATAAATTATTAAACTTCACTGGTTCATCAGATTCATCATCGGACCCATCTTGGTGTTCTAAAGACATGTTAGAAAATGAAGATGACAAGTTTCTGTTAACATCTTTGATTATCATAGATACTGTTTCATTCATCTCATTTAATTCCTGATTAAGAATCCTTGAAAGTTCATAACTATTTTTTAAAAATAAAACAAATAAATAAATAATACAATAATCAGAATTGTTAAAAGAGAAAGAAATATAAAGATACGTTTACTTACTACTTTTCTCTTTCATCATCCAATGAGCTAAATTCATTTTCTTTATCTTCAGAATTTGTATCAAATTCATTCAGAATATTTTCAAGTTCTTTTTGTCTGTTTTCCATTGCAGTCAAATTTTCAGCAATATTATTCTGAAAATGTTTAACTCTATCTGTTTTTTCAGTAAGTTTTACTATCTATAATTTCATAAAAAATCTGTTAAAACATGAATAATTAAATAATTCACACATAGATTATTTTTATTATTATGGTTGTTGTTATTTTGATCCTATACCTTGTACTATAAAAAATTTTATTAATATTAAATTAGACATCTCTAGTTGCTAGAGCAATAGATGTATTTGATAAAGATGTTAAAGAAAGAGAGAAAGTAATTACCAGTTTAATTAAATATCTTGTTAGAAAATGAAGATGACAAGTTTCTGTTAACATCTTTGATTATCATAGATACTGTTTCATTCATCTCATTTAATTCCTGATTAAGAATCCTTGAAAGTTCATAACTATTTTTTAAAAATAAAACAAATAAATAAATAATACAATAATCAGAATTGTTAAAAGAGAAAGAAATATAAAGATACGTTTACTTACTACTTTTCTCTTTCATCATCCAATGAGCTAAATTCATTTTCTTTATCTTCAGAATTTGTATCAAATTCATTCAGAATATTTTCAAGTTCTTTTTGTCTGTTTTCCATTGCAGTCAAATTTTCAGCAATATTATTCTGAAAATGTTTAACTCTATCTGTTTTTTCAGTAAGTTTTACTATCTATAATTTCATAAAAAATCTGTTAAAACATGAATAATTAAATAATTCACACATAGATTATTTTTATTATTATGGTTGTTGTTATTTTAGTAGTGGTTATTAATAATACCTTTTGACTATTTTCATTAATCTTTTGATCCCATTGATAAACTTCTTTTACTTGATTATGAAATTTTTTAATATAATTATCAAGGTCTTTTGATGACTTGCTTATTACATCTTCTAAACTGTAATCATCTATTGAAAAGTCAAGATTTGAGTAAGTATTCATATTGGATGATTTTATTTTTTAGTTGAAGATCAATCAAAATAAAATTTTCACACAAAATGTCTTCCGATTTTTATCAAATTCATCATCTTTAAATCTGGGAATTTGACAAAGCTTCACAAAAAGAACTCATAAAATTTTTAAAAGGTGAAAATGAAAGAAGACGTCTTCAACAATCCATTCACACTTTTACTGATATATGTTGGGACAAATGCATTACCAAGATTGGTAATAAAATTGAACATGGTGAAGAAACTTGCTTAACAAATCGTGTTGAAGGATTTTTTGGATACAAGTATGTTTATTAAGAGACTAGAAAAAAACAAAAAACAACTTTAAAGCATTAGAGAAAATGTGAATTTTAAAAAGGTAAAGTTTTTGTTTTTTGGGGTTTTTTTAAACAAAAGAATTTGTTAAATGTAATATATTAACAATAACATTTAAATCTATATATTAAATATATTTACAAGATAATGATAACAACATATATAACAGATAATTAGATTAATGATTTGTTCATTTTTATAAACTTTTTTGTCATTATATACATATTTAATAATTAATTTTTTTCAATCATAAATTTAATACATTCTATAATGTCATCCATCACTTGATAGATAATTTTCAAGAGAAAGCCAAATAAATTTCTGTTTTTTGAAAAAAGAGAGAATTGAATAATAATAATAATAATAATATCAAAAAAAGAACATGTTAAAATTCAATTCTTCATCTGGGTCTGGGTCTAACATGGAGTAAACTTTGGATTATTGCTCATGGTAGGTGTGAATTTGATCTAATTGTTGATTGTGTTAAAGGTGTGGCTGGTATTATATTAATAATAAGATATTATTGTTAATCAGTATTCTTGTAATCTATACCTATTAAGAACAGTGCTGTATAATGCAATAGCAGAACTTGAGTGTAGAGGCAGAGGTGATGGTGATGATTATGTGCCAATATTTGTAGTAAATCTCTCAGCAGATGAAGGTATTATTGATTGAAATACAGATGATGATGAAAATTTGAAAGGAGGTTAAAATGGAGAAGTTAACTGAAATGCAGAAACTGAATACATGATTTTCTCCATAGAAATATCCATATAAATGAAGAATATTTAGATGTTTATAACAACAATATCATATATCAGTGCACAATGCATACACCTACCTTAGATTACTTAGTATTTCAATCTCTTTCTTAATCATTAAGTTCAATTATCTTTGGTATGTACATTGTTTTTAATGCAATAATATATCCACTTGTTTTCTCTCTCGCCCTTCATATTGCCCTTTACCAAGTTCAGATCCAATATCAGAATTATTTATTGTCCAAATCTTTGGTTCACTATAAATAGTTGAGAACAAACAAGCGAGTGATTCACAAATTAAAATAATGAAAATCACCTAACAAAGGATGGAAAAATAGGTGTAGAAGTAGTAGTAGTGGTAATAGAAGAAGAAAACACCTGATTTTCAAACTTTTCTATGAGAAGAATATTATATGGCAAAGCATTATCATCATCATCATCATCATCATCATTATTATTATTGTTATTATTATTGTTATTATTATTATTATTACATTACCACCACCATTACTATTATTAATCTTTTATTATTGATATTGACTTTTTGCTGTTGTTGATGTTAATAATAAATAATATTCTAATTTAAAATTTTAATAATGTATATATTAATATATGTATTCTGACAACAGCTCAAAAATTGAGATTATCATTATGCGTGTCCATAAAAAAATTATTTTTACACAATAATGTTAATTCATTTTCAACAAAACTTTCACAAGTTACAACTCTTAAATCTTTTTCCATATCGTTCCTTTTCATCAACTATTAAAATATTCGTTATACGTAGACCTGGGTCTGGTTCAAGACGTGGTGGTCGTAGTGGTTTCGAAAATGATATCAAAGATTTAAAATTATACGAATTTGATAGTATAACAAAAGATGGATTTGAACTTTTGTTGGCACAAAGTGAAGTGAGGAAATATTTGCGTAAAGCAAAACATGAAATACCAAAACTTACAGGTGAGAGAAATAATACATTGTCGAAAATCATATAATTTAAATTTAAAATTTATAATATTTTTCTATACAAAGAATTTGCTGAAGCCTTTAAACCACCAACATCAAAAGAGATTCTTTGTTTTAAAAGACAATATTATATTGGAGAAGATAACCATTTACAAAATAAAGCCGTTATGACAGTAGACGTTAATAAACTTGAACTTTCATCAGCCGAAAAACACAAATTTTTATTAATTTGTGGACCAAGATATGATGGTGAAAACACAATAAAGTTTTCATATGATAAATTTCCAAATTATGCACAAAATAAAAATTATTTAGGAGATCTTTTAAATAAAATTTTAGAAGAAGTAAAGGTAACTAGTACGGGATATCTATTTATGTATATTATGTGAGCGTAATTCAAAAAAATTAATCATCATCATTAAATATAGAATCCAAATGCAGATAAATTTGAGGATATTCCACTTGATTTAAGGCATATTAAAAAAAATAAAAAATCATTCAAATTTCCAATAGAATGGGTAAAAAAAAGTGAAGATTTACAAACACAAGAATCTACATCAACACCTACAACATCAACACCTATAACATCATCATCAACATCAGCACCTATAACATCAACAACATCATAATCATTATAATAAATAATAATATTTATTCTTTTTAATGACAGAAAATAATTTTCATGTACTATTGATTAATGTACAAACAGCAGATCCAAGTTGACGTTTTATATCTTCATTATCAATATCATGTGCTATTCATATATATAGGTTAAGAATTTTGTCAAAAAATATTATTTTTAAGATACATTTTTTTCACTATAGAATAATAACCAACTTTGTTATCATTGTCACTACTAACCATTTTCTAATTGACCCCAACGCATTGTTTGTGAGATTGTTTCAATTCTTGCAGCTTTTGCAGCCTCTTCAACTGATAGTTTTCGTTCTACCAAACCAAGGCCAATAATAAATGATTTTGATATTATTGTAGCACGTTCAAAAGCTTTTAATTAATTAAATTTTTTTGTAAATCAATATTTGATGTAATGTGATATGATGTGAATATATATAATAATACAATGTAATAAGAAAAACCTGCTAATTTTAATCCATCAAATTTATTAATAATAGAATGAAGTTTTTCTTTGGATTGAATTGGCTGTTTTATCCCAATAATACTATGTGTTGATTTTATTTCAATATTATAAGTTGATTGTATCCAATTTATTAATGGATCCCAATGTTCTTTTTGAAGATTTACCAAAGATTCAGGAAATGGTTCTTGATAACTTTTTTTTTAAAAATAAAAAAAATATTTTCTAAATTCAAAGTGAATTCAATAATAATACAATTTTTTCCAATCACTAATAATCTAAAGTATCAATACTTTACCAAATAGTATCAGTATCAAGATATTTAATTAAACTGGTAATTACTTTCTCTCTTTCTTTAACATCTTTATCAAATACATCTATTGCTCTAGCAACTAGAGATGTCTAATTTAATATTAATAAAATTTTTTATAGTACAAGGTATAGGATCAAAATTATAGAACAATGCATATAATATAAATTCATGAATTGATAATTACCAAAGGCAATGAATGATGTTTTAGCACGGCCTTTTGTGATTCCCATTCACCAGCAATCAATAATGCCAAATACTTTTTCGTTTTTGGTATGATCAAGTGTGATCCTCCAGGTGTTTTCAATTGACGTTTATCAAGTATTATTAAATAATTACCGTCTAGTAAGTAAACAAATTAATTGATTGATTGATTGATTGAATAATTTTGTAACAACATGTTAATAATACCTTGATTTTTTGTTATTGATGTATTTTTCCAAAATCTTTTTAATAAGATTTCAGTTTCTAAAAAAATATTTATAAAATAGATTTTTCAGCAATAACAATATATACATGATATGCAAGATTCCTTGTGTATTGGACGGAAATAATATGCACTACTTGGTAGTTGATTCGGGTCAACCAATTTCTCCTGTGAAACTTTGTTAGCTGCTACAGTGTAGGTTCTTCTAAATAATTCCCTAAAAGTAGATCGTAAGAGCATTCTTATACTAATACAGCAAGATGTAAAAAAAAGGCCAATTTTGACATTTTGATGTTCGTGTAACGTGATGGTTCCCCTCACAAATAAAGTTAGAACTGGACGTCAACCATTAACATCAACTACGTTTGAGAACATGTTCAAGTCAAAACTTTGGGTAATAAAAAGATCAGTTATTTTATTATTGAATTCAGGCTTTAAGAGATTAATATTGATGTCAATGACATGCGAACTGCCAACGACGCGAACCGATACTTTCACCTTATGTACAACAATAAGATATCAGCGACCTATTTTTAGGAAAGACAATTAATTATGAAGCGAAGTGTTTTCACCGCCGGTGACGGAAATTACAAGAATATTATTGACAACCGGCCGGTATCTTCGTGATCATATTAAAAAATACCCTACGATGGTTTTGTTATCATTGATTTTTGAGTTCATTCCCACCCTATAACGGATCTGCGACTTGCTCTATTACTATATATAACGGACTGAAAATTTAAGCCAATTTATAAGCTAATTGGTTCCGTTATATAGAGAATTATTATCATGTTTTTTAAACCCCTTCAAATCACGTGATCATAACGATATTCATATCATCTTCCGATAAATTATTTGACCTCATTATTTAATTACAAGTAAATTGATAACATGAAGAAATGACTTTTATAATTAAAAACCGGAAATTTTCTTAGGATTATAGAAGCATCATAGAAACATACCAAATCACTTACTACGAACTATGCAGCTTTTTTCGAGAAACAGGAAGAAATCAAGAAATTGGTAATGAATAGAGGAAGAGAAGAAGGATAATTTGGAAACAAAAGAAAGGAAGGATTTAAAACGTTTATGAGTTATTAAATTAAAGGTTTGATCATTAACGATCAAAAGGGAATCGGCCCTCTTTTATTAAGAGAAAAGACGCGACCACAAAAATATAAAACAAAATTTAAGAGATCTAAACCAAACAAAAGGTCAACTCTTGCAAAGAGGGTCAAAATAACTAAGTTTGAACAAGAAAAATGATGAAAAACAAAACTTGGCAAATTCCGGAGAAAGAACGCCTATTACTATAGAAAATTTTACTTTGCACCGAAAGAAAATTAGCAAAAGATTTCGACTAAAGAAATAGATGCATAAAGAGGTTAGTAAACGAAAAATCAAATATAATAATCGGCAGTAAAGAATTTTTTAAAAAACCCAGAATGTACAATTTGTTGGTTTTTGAGTAATTGTAATTCTAATCACATTGTTCCGGAGCCCTATTTTTAAGCAGAAAATTTTATTAATAAAATGGTATTCTCTAGAAAGATCTGCCTTAGCAACATGTTTTTTTTAATATAAATAACACCCAATTCAAGGACTATCTTCGACTGGGGAGCTCATATTTTTAATTATTACATGGGCGGTGGCTATGTATTTAACAAACCTTATTCCAAAACGTGGGCATAGTTTTTGTAAAGTAATATTGTATTACAAAGTGTTGCTTATATTTACAGATCATTTATGATGTTTTTTTTCAACTTTATGACATTTTCAAAATAGAAGTTGAAGACGCGAATGGAAGCAAATGAAACAGATTTCCCGTGGCTCAAATTATAATAGTAATATATAGTAATAGTAATAGCTTAATAATTCTTCTTTATTTTCCTTATGTCTAAGTAAGTAGCGATATGCTTAAAATATTTAGAGATGTTTAGACTGCATAAAAAACCATGATTCATTCTTATACTAGTGTTTAAAAAAAAATCAGTGTTAAATTATTTAATATTACTTTTATTAATAGTACATATCAATAAAAAGCGAAATTAATTAGTGATTATTCTTTTTTGGAGCATTTCTGAAATCAATTATACACAAGTAATTATTAGAAATCATTATTAGCTAATTTCATGTTGAATAAATTAAAGGAAAAGAGAAATAGAAAGAAAGAGCTTACATTGAAGTATCAGAAACATATAACAATAATGTATCCGAATCCAATAATACGCGATTTTGAATAGAAGCAATTTCTCTTGCAATTTCAATTTTTCTAATTCAGTAAATCCAGGTTTATTCTTAATAGCCTCACCAATTAATTCAGCAGACTTGGTCTCATCTTCTGCTTTAATGATAATTGATTGATTTTCTTGTTTTGCACGCTCCACCACGAAGAATGTACGTTGTGCTTCTTGTTGAGCAATTTGTTTCGCTTCAACTATTGAGTAAATTCTGGTGAGAATGCAACATGAGTGATTGACACATCATCCAAAATAACACTAAATTTCTCTGCTCGACGTATCAAATTTTCCCTTATTAGCCTTGATACCTAAATATTAATCAATCAATTAAATCATTTATTTCATATTGTTCACATTGTTAAATATATGTATAATACTAATCTTTTCACGTTGTGATTAATTGTGAAACATTGAATTGAGCAACCACAGACTTGAGAACTTCATTTACAATAGAAAGTAGAACACTTTCATCGTAGTAAGTTCCAAGGGTTCTATAAATTGTTGACAATTCCTGTATCTTTGGCATTGATAATACATGGCATGTAATATTTACCATTTGGAGATCTTTTCAAAATTAATTTTTATTTGTTAATTAAAAATGGACTTGTGGTTAATTTTCTCAAAAAAAAAAAAAATGATAGTAAATTTACCCTTGTCCCAGTTAAAGAAGCAACACTTCTTGGTTTAGCTCCAACATCATAAACGATTGGTGATTCAAACCATGGTAACATGAAATGTGCACCTTCATTATAAACTTCTCTTTTTACACCAGACAACCTTGTATATTTGATTGCTCTATGACCATCATCAACTGAATACCATTATTATTACAAATAGTTAATATATATATGATAAATAGAAATGAATAAAAGACTCACCATTAAATAAACTGGCATTTATTCCCAAACCAAGTGCTCCTAAAAACCTGTTCCTGTAAATGGTCCCTTGCTATTACCACCACTTTTAGGCAACATGCCACTAAGTTTATGTATTGTTTGTCTTCCCTGTGAATAAGCCGTATTTATTATTATTATTACTATTATTACTATTAAATGAATTCTTAAAAAAAATTTAAATAGATTTTTTTTTATATGATTTAAATTTTAACTGATTAACTATTGATTTCATTGGTGGAAATTTATCATTGTTGTCGCGTTTAAAATCCAAAATTGGATTTGGATTCTATTACTATTTTTTTGCATCGGAAAATTCATTTGAGATACACAAACTCGTCATAACAATTATTATATCATATGATTAAAAATTTTTTTCTTCAAAAAATTTATTTATTTTTTTATTTATATATATATATATATCTAAACATTTTTTTTTAATGAATATTGTTAATTCTAACGATAATATTAATAATAACAACAATATTAGTAATGACAATAGTTTAGAAACTGAACCAATTCTTGTTAATGACAACGATACTCCTTTGGAAAATTTGAACACTAGTGATTTTTTTGATCAAGAGAAAAAGAATGGTAATGGAATTGGAATTATTGGAATGATGGATGAGTCTGAGCAAAAAAATTTGACTAATTCCTCGGAGCTGTTGATTGGAGAGGAAGAGAGTGTAGCGGCTGCGCTTGTTTTTGCTAATAAAGATTCCACTGATCGTAATAAAAGTATAAAAAAATTCGAAATTTCCAGTAATGACAACAACAGCAACGACAACGACAACAATGATAATAATAATAATACCAATGATAATGGACATTTTATAATAATTAATAATAATCGATGTACAAAAAACGACAATAATAACAACAATACCTTAAGACAACGTCATGTCACCTCATTAAATAATAACAATAGTGGCAGTAGTAATAATAATAATAATAATAATAATAATAATAATATTACTAACGTCAGCGATAATAATATTAATAGTACTAAAGCTACTATTATTACTACTAATACTAGTACTATTGATACCACTAATACTATTAATAACGGTTCAACAAAAACAACAGCAACATCACCTTTAATAAATAATCTAACAACAAATGAATTACCAACTTCCGGAGCCTCTGTCTCATCATCTGCAGGCGAAGGCAGCAGCCGGGGAGTTAGGAGAAATTCTCAAAGTAAGACCACTGATAATAACAATTCAAATAGCTCTTCAGAATATGAATGTAATATTTGGTAACTATATAAATAGAAATTATATATGTTTTTGATAATAATAATAAGTTTCAATAGATATTAATAATGATACATTTTTATAAAGCTTTGACACAGCTGGATCTCCTGTTCTTACAGTTTGTGGACATTTATTTTGGTTTGTTGATTTAGGTTATATTTATACATTTATACATTTATACATTATAAATTATAAATTATAAATTATTTACTTATTTAATTTAAAATTAAAAAAAGTTGGCCTTGTCTACATCAAGTAAGCAAGAATTATATGTCTATGTTAAAGTTATTATTGTCGTAATATATAAAATATAGTTAAATAATTTTTCATATTATTATTATTATTTTTAAAAGTGGTTGGAAGCACAGTCATTAAATCCTTTATGCCCAGTTTGTAAGGCAGGGTGTGGACAAGACAAAGTGATACCTGTATATGGACGTGGAAAAGAAGCAAAGGATCCTAGGTACTTGATAACTAATTATTTAACGAGTTAATTAATATATTTATATTTATATACTATGAAATATTATTTACACGCATACACACACACGCACGCACATATATAGAAAGAACTCAGATATTCCTAATCGACCAGCTGGCCAAAGACCTCGGCCACAAAGAGATCCAAATCTACCTAGTACACAGTTTTTCCCTGGATTAAACATTCATTCAACAACTCTAATGCCACACTTCTCTATTTCTGTCAGTACAATTTTTCCTACAGTTTTTAGCCCACAAATAGTAAGTTTTTCTAATATCTCTTGATTTTTTTATATTGTATATAAATATAAAAAATTTCTATTAATTAATTATAATTAGACATTTCCGCCTGCTAATGGTCCTCCTTCGGAACAACAAGCATTCTTATCAAGAATTCTTTTTATGCTTGGAGTTCTCATACTAATATGTTTTTATTTCAATTAAGTTTAACAAATTATTTATTTTTTATTAGAAAAAAAATTATACTCATTATTATTAAATATTATTTAATTAGGAATTTTTTCTTCGAATTATTTTTCTAAAAACTAATTAGTCATTTTTGTTCATTCATTCATTCATTCATTCATTCATTCAGTACTTTTTTCTCTCCTTTAAAAAATAAATATAAAAACATATTATTATTTCTAAATAATTTATTAAAAACAAACAAGGGACAATATATTAAATAAATTACTTTTAAATAAATACATAGTATTCACAATTAGTAATTTAATAAGTAATTCAATAAATGAAAGACATTAATCCATTCTTCAAATTTAAATACGTTAATTAATTGATTAATTTATTATCTACGTTTATAAAACCTTCTCCATTTCGAATCAATTTTTTCTAAATAATAAGTTCCTTCAAACATAGTTTCGTCTATCGAACTATTGTCTCCATTAGGTTCAAAATCCTTTTCACCGTGTGTTTCTTCTCTTGAATTCATCACTTTAGCGAATTTCTCAGGTTGAACTATCAATCTCGAGTCTAATCTATTTTTTATATTCAATTTTTCACTAATATCCTTGACAGACTTCCTAATTTGAAATGAGAAAAATGATGATGATAGACCAGATCCATATGAAAACATTGCAACACGCTTACCAATCTAAATTATTGTTTTTTAATTTTAAAAAAAAATTTAATTTAATAACTTCAAATATTGAAAAACATCAATATAGATATTAATCGTTTACCAAATCTTTTACATCTTCACTTGATAATAAAGATACAAGAGTTCCATACAAAGATGCACAATACATGTTTCCAATTTGAGTAGCAAGCAAAAGAGTCGGTAGTACCCTACTTTGATAAAATGAATTACTAATTCCAACAAGAGCCTTTTCAAGTTCTTTTGATCTTAATGATTCTTCATAATCGATATTTTGGAATTGAAGAACAGATTCAAAACCTTCGAGCGTTGGGTTTCTTTTAAAATCATTATAAAATAATCTTGCATAACTTTTTTGTACCAATTTACAATATGGTGAATGGAAAAGAGCGTAATCAAAAAATTTTATTGTAGGATCTTCAACTTTCTCCTATAAAATAATATAATTATTAAATGTAAATGCAAATGTGTGGATTAGTCGAATTAATACTATTATATAAAATTTTTTAATAAATCGTAAATCTTAAATCATGAATCAATAATCACCTTTTGAACCAATTTGTCAATATATCTGTTATAACAAATATCAAGAGCCTTAAGATAACATGAATTACTTAAATGACCATCTACTACTGGAAATTCCGATGTCAAATCTGGTTTATCTAAAAAAAAAAATAAATAAATATTAATAAATAATGAATAAATGATTACATAAATAATAAATTATATAATAAATAATAATAATTAATTACAAAAATCCCAAACATGTTCCATATGAGTTGAACGTAACCCTACATTTTACATTTGTACAAAACAAAATTATAAACGTAATCATTACAAAATCGCCCACCCCAAAAAACCATAGCATTGAGTTTACCTCTGTCAAAAACAATTGGAGCATCTTTACCGATAAGCATAGCAACACATCCTGCACCACCAGTAGGACGTGCAGGACCAGATGCGTAAACAGCAATATCACCAGCGACTACAAGAGCATATCGTCCATCCCAAGATGATGACTCTACCCAATCCAATGAATTGAAAAGTGCCGATGTACCTATAATTGAGATTTATAATATGAAGGAATATTTATATATTTTTTTTTTTTTCCTTCCCAATAAATTATATGTATTTATGTAGATTTTTAAAATTTTAAATCTTTTTTACCTCCATAACAAGCATTTTTAGTATCGATACCTTCAACATCAGTATTACCCGAATCAACAAAAAGCTGCATCAGCACGCTTTTTACAGATTTTGATTTATCAACTTAACACACGTAAAATATATATATGTAAAAATATAAATGTTTATATAAGTAAATTGTAAAATGTGTAATACAAATCATCTTTATAGTAGCATATACAACAACAACAATTACTACACTACCACTAACAACAATAATAATATGATATATTTAATACTTACTGATTGTCTCTGTACCAACTTCAACGCGACCAATATCTTTATAAGAAATCTTGTATTTTTCAATTAAATTTTGGACAGCTAGAAAGCAATAACGATAAAGAGGAAAATGAGAAATCATTCAAGGTGATCCTCACTCAATTAAAATCAATTATTATTTGGTTCATTTACCAGTTAATGCAATCGAATTAATATCTAAAAAATATAATATATATATATATATATATTAATTGTAATTTAAGACAATGCGTCTTTTTTTTCTATTTAGCCAATAATTAATAATTACCTTCTCTGTCATCACAAAATCCCATTTTAGTTTGGCCTAAGCCAATTGTATATTTACCAGTCGATACTTTATCAAATTTCTCTAGTTCTGCTTGTTCAATACACTTGAAATCAAAAAAAAACATAAAAAAATACTCAATATTGTTACTCTAAAAAATTTGGTTTTTTTCTAGAATTAACTTACTCTCTTTGGAAAATATATCTCGATAGCTACTATTCCAACATTTTCAGGATAAGTCATTTTTTATTTTCTTTGAATTTTTTAAAATTTAATTTTAAGTGTAATATTTTTTTACATTATCGATTTATCAATCTTAAATAATTAAAAAATTAAAATTCGTGTGACGTTTACATTTTTGAACAATGATTAAAATCATACATGGCAGAAATAGGTTTAGATCACGGTTCCAACATTTCGATTCCAATAAGTCCAAAAATTGAACGATTTTTTTAACATTAATATTGTATGTGAAATTGAAATATTATAGAGTGGGGTGAAATTCTGATTGGCTAATTTGAATTTCACGTATGTGAATTGCGAATTCACATAATTTCATTTTCACGTACAACATTTTTAAATACTACTAATACATAACTATTCTGAAGAATTGGATTATCTTTAGAAACCACAATCAATTTTTTTTTTTAGTTTTCTTTGACCTATGATCCATCTTTTGAATCTTATTAATTTTTTCTACTACTGAGTTTCGTTTAAGATACCATATTTGTTCTCATCTAAGAATAGGTCTTTCATTCGGATTTGAATTGTTAATTAAAGAAAATTAACTGGATTTGAAGAAATTGAGTCTAATCCAGTGTTAATTCCATAAATTCCGATCTGTGATCTCACCATATTTTTTCTCATAAAGGCTTCATGCTTTTTTCTGCAAAAAATTATCTAGAAATTCTAATCAAAAAGATAAAATCTTTAATTTAATCTACTAAAAATAAAGTTATCTTCTTATATATACTTGATAAAGGATACTCGATTCTTCCTTTGATATTCACCTAGAAGACTTTCTTTGGCAAATTACCTCTACTCTTTTTCTGCCATCAAAAGAAACTGGTGTATGTAAATATATTTTTTGATTTCTTCATTTTGTCCATTCTAAACAAGGATGCTACCTAATTTCGAGTTCTTTATTTTTTTTTGAATGAAAAAAAATGCTAAAACAGATCATTGAGTATTTCTTTTGCATCCAGAATTATTTAAATGTCTTTCAAAAAACCTTTCAACATATGGGCGGTCTAGTTGGATTTTTGAGCCACGGATACAAATAACTAAATTCGGACTTAATACTCTTACACAGTATTCATGTGCTTGAAGCCTTTCAAGTAAACCTATTCTTTTACGAAAAAACCAAAAATTTCAAAGATATAATATATATATAACGATACGATTTTTATTGTTTTTTGGGAATTATGAAAAATCGAGATTCATATTTTAAGACCATTTTATTATTATAAATTTACTTCAAAAGTGATATAACTGGTAAAAATTTGTTCAGTCTTGAATGAAGCTGGTAAAGAATGTAGTCTGTTTTTTCTGACGATGACTCTACTGGAAATCAAATAAATTACAATTTGAAACAATTCATCCTTCAAATTAAATGATTATTTTATTTTAAGTTCTTATGATCATTGCAATTAATTTGCTTATTCCCGAAGATTTCCGAAATTTTTACAAGAAAGTTTCTTTCTAACAATGCAGAATTACGCATATAGTGTTTTTTAATTGTATGCATGCGGAGGTTTGTTTTTAGCATTGACATAATTAATTCACCGCAGAAAACCGTTGTAATGTTTACAAAACATAAATGTCATCTGATTTTGATGTGGGAGTACCCAGGACATATTCACGGGTACAAACACTAAATCGAAATAATATTTAATTGTTAAGTTCTTTCCCCTCGTTGGAAATATTTTCTAAATAAAATAAAACATTGTTTAAAGATATCAAGTAAGTTTAAAATGTCATTCTATAAATTGTTATCGCCAGAAAGAAGCGGATTTGTATTCAAAATTCATAGAGGAATGAATGATATCGCTTTAGCAAACACTCATAATGGAGAACAACAAAAAGATTATTTTTTTTCATTAGTCGAAAAAAACAAGGGGCTTTCTGAAAATGAAAAAAAATATTGCAAAGAATACTTTGTTTATGAGTTTGAATTAAATAATTTGAGAAATAAATTGGGCAAACCAAAAGAATGTAACAAGTGCAAATTTACAAAATATTCTGATAGGTTTTGTGAAAAGTGTATTGGTCTACACTTACAAAATCTTTTTGTCACTTGGACATCTGATAATGACATAGTTGATGGTTTTATTCAACAATGTCAGATTCTCTCATCCTTGCCAACTCATATTTTAGAATGGATACCTTTTGAGCAATTTAAAAAAATAATAAAATTAACTGAAGGTGGATTTAGTTTGATTTATACTGCAGAATGGACAAGAGGAACCATTATTGATTATGATGAAAATAAAATGGAATTTGGTTATTTAGGAGCTCAAAATGTAGTATTAAAATGTTTAAATGATTCAAGTAACCCAAGAAAAGAATTTTTTAATGAGGTAATTAATTTTATTTTATTTGTAGCAAAATAAATAATAATATATTATATAGCATTAATTGATTTTATGTTTATTTCCAGGCATTGAATTATTGTAAAATTAAATCACAAATGATTGTTCCTTGTTATGGTATAACTAAATTCCCAGATAATGGAGACTATGTGATGGTTCTTAATGATCATGAAGAAGGAAATTTAAGAGATTATTTACAAAAAAATCGTTCAAAATTAACATTAAAAAATATAATTATAATATTACAGATTTGGACCAGCTGATGAAACATCATCAAATAAAATCTATGGAATTGTACCATATATTGCACCAGAACTACTTAAAGGTAAAATTAATACAAAAAACACAAAGGAATCAGATATTTATATCATTGGGATGTTAATGTGGGAAATATTTGCAGGCCATCCACCATTTGATAATAGAGGTCATAATCATCATTTAATTTTTGATATATGTGAAGGTTTACGACCACCAATATTACCAGGAATGCCTGATGATTATGTGCAAATGATGCAGAAATGTTGGGATGTGGATCCATCAAAAAGACCAACTGCTAGAGAGCTTTTGATTTTTGCTGATAATGAATTAAAAGAAATTTATAAAAATGAAAGTTTGGATATTAATAATAATAGTAGTAATATTAGTTGTGGTAGTGATAATAGTAGTAATTCACACAAACCACATCCAGGTGCATATCATAAAAGCAGAATATTAAATGATGAAATTGCTAAATCAATAAGCTTAAAAAGTTATACAAGTAATGATAGTTCATTGAATAGTCTTGATTTTAATTCTTTTCTTATAAATGCTGATTTTAATAAAGGTAAAAAAGGTTCATTATTAATTAATTGGAAATTACTATCCATTAATTATTACTAACAGTATTTTTATTCCCATTTAATCAATTAATGAACATTAGATTCTAGTTACAATAGTAAAGGAAAAGATGTTGAAAGAATAGATGGGGTTGTTGATGAAATTGATACTACCATAATTTCGTGAGAGGGGGTAAAAAATAATTCGTTTAGTTTCTGTATTTCTGCTGTTGTTTTCATATGTGCATTATGTGTGTATTTCTTCACATGGGGGCAAATTATCAATGGATGATTAATTTAATCTCCACTATAAATTTATTCATTGTATTAATTATATCTTATCTTTTCATCTTTTAATTTCAAAGCTAAATCATAATAATAATAAATTTTTTGAATAGTTCTGATGTTTTTCTTTTCCTTTATTATTAAAGTTACATTTGTGGGAATTCTTTATTTATCAGTTTTTGGAGAATATACTGACTCTATTACACCATAGGGAAATAATTAGATATAAACTGGTCTGCAGTCCTAAATGATCCACTAGTGATCTCACCCTTCCTTCTAGGTGAGTGGATGGGTGTTTAGAGTTAACTTGCTTCTTGAAAATGACATTGATTTGGAGGAAAAAAAGCAACCTACCAAAAAAACTTTGTTATTTACTTACAAATGAAAAATCTAAAATATTCTTGGTAATGCTGTGGGCGAAATTAGTACATTCGCCAATCACCCATTCCGGAATTAGGCAAAGTTAATTCCGCCCAATGACTGAAATCCGATAAATTTCCGAAATGCCATTAATTTCGCCTTCGATGATTGGCTAAAATCACAGTTCTGTGATAAAGAAGCCCTATTGGCTGTTAGTTGTGTAATAAATATATATCACCATTGCATACAGTCGCTCGATATAGTGAATTTTTGATTAGTACAAATTTGGAAACTATCTGCGTTAATATCCAATCGAATTCAATTTTTATAGAGATAGTTTCCAAATTTGTACATACTAGTTAAATATCAGTTATACTGAGACTCATTGTGTAAATAGACTTGGCAACGAAACTATTTTGGGAGAGAAACGAAAGTCGAAACTCAAAAACTTGTTTCTGCTTAAACAAACTAATTTTATACAAATTTAACAACATGACAAGAGTTTACAAACTTTTTTATTGGCTATTTCATTTAACATTTATGACACACTGATAAATCAGATATTCGGACTTATTCTGCCATTTCGGAAATATTTTGCCATTTATATTTAGAAAATAATAATAAATGCTAAAAATCCAAAATATTTCGAAACTAAAAGTTGGATTTCGCCCACAGCATTAATTCTTGGCAAAAAAAAATTAACCACACCCGAGATTTATGATAATACACATTCTGAATAAGTAACATTTTAAATTTTTGAAATTTACAGTAAAATGTTAGTTTAAAATGTAGTAAAATCATCAGTTTTGTGCCTAATTATAAAATATCAATCTACGCCATCAAAAAGGATCTTTATGAAAAGATATATTATTACAAAATCGAAAAGAATGGGTAAAACTACAAATGATGTCTTAATAAAATTGATTGAAATAGTTACCGAAAATAATGTGTGGTAATGAAATATTGAGTCAATATTTGATGGCATTAAAATTTTTTAAAGATATACAGTACTGAATAGTTGTGGAATGTATTTTGGATAAATTATATAATTTTGGTTTTTTAGGTTTATATATATGGCTTGTTCAATATTATAACTTTTCCCCTGATCTAGAATTTTAATTTGTCATGATGCCATCGTCAATCGAAAAATTTGATGATTTTTATTAAATCACCAAGATAATAAATATTCAAG